GGTAGGGAAAGCCCAGCAGCAAGAAGCAGGCATGGAGGCAGAGAGGGTATCTCAGAGAGAGCAAACTGGAAGTGGGATGTGGCTATAAATAAACTCTCAAAGTCTACTGCCAGTGATGTACTTCCTGCAGCAAGATTACACCTCACAGAGGTTCCAAAGCATCCCCCAGAACAGTGCCACCAACTGGGAACCAAGTGTTCCAATATGTGAGCCTATGGGATACATTTCTCTTTCAAGCCACCACATTCCAATCCCTGTATCAGAGTTTTTTAAAGACTGTAGAACTCTTAAACTATTGAAATTCTTAGAAGACTGTGAGACTTTTAAAAGTGATACTGTGTTTTATATTATGAAATTGTCATGAGATCTTGAGAACAAGAAAAGGTTACAGTTTTAATTGATGTGTTTGTGTGTGGAGTTGACAAGGGGTAAACTTGTGATGGCTTATCTTGATGGTTGCCAACTTGAGATATCTGTAAAAGTAACCTCAACTGAGATTGCCCTATGGACATGTCTGTGGGGTATTTCATTGATGACTGAATGATGTGGAAGGCCAGGCCACTGTAAGTGGTGCCATCCATGGGCAGGTGGTCCTGGAAGCTATAAGAAAGGTAGCCAAATGTGGGCCTGGAAGCAAGCCAGTAAGCAGCAAAGGGTCTCTGCTTCACCCTGTCCCCAGGTTCCAGTTGAGTGCCTGTCCTGGCTTCCCTCAGTGACAGACTGTAACTTCAGGCTGAAATAAACCCTTTCCTCAAGAACTTGATTGGGGTCCCAGGTTTACAACAGTAACAGATATTGAACTATTACCAGAGAATAGTACAAGTATTGTAGTAATAAATATTAGTTGTGAATGCTCAAAAAAATGATATCTTGCCAGCTAGTGGTGGCACACACTTTTAATCCCAGCACTTGAGAGGAGAGGTAGGTGGATCTCTGTAAGTTTGAGATCAGCCTGGTCTACAAGAGCCAGTTCCAGGACAGACTCCAAGGCTAGGCAGGAAAACCCTTTATTCTTCATTGACTTGCATGATACAGCAAGGGAGAAGCATTTTGATGAAGAAATGGTTACAGATGTGGAGGCGGTGGTACTGTTAGCGTTTGGCATCTTACCATTGAGAGTGCTACAGCAGCCCTGTGAAGTAGAAACTGGGACCAGTGAGCTCTGGAATGAGACTTTGCCTCCACCCATTACTGATTTCAGGAACCCAGAGGAATGCCTAAGCTACTTCAAGTTTTGATCCATTCATCTGTAAAATGGGCCTAATACAACCCCATTAAGTATTTACTTAACTCAGTGCCCTAATCATATTCAGAACCTAATAAACAGTACCAAGAGCTATAAATGGGCAGGTGCACACATGGCTTCACAGATTTTTTTATTCTCAACACAGTAAGTTTTGAATGCAGCAAGAAACCCCTTCCAGCTGGCTACTGGGGTGATTTAGATGATCCTCAGAGTTTATAGACCAGGAAGCATATTCTGCTTCATGGCCCATTTGTGTAGACCACACTGTTTGTTTACGTAACTTAAACTCAAAATTGATCCAAGCTCAAGCTAGATAAAATCCCAGCATGGAGAAGGGGAAGTCAGCACAAAGTCCCACTCCTGACTAAGAAACTATTTGCAACTAAAAATGCTAGGAGATGTTGAATCTGTATTACTCAATGGGGTTGACATTGAGTATATTGACCATACTCCAGGGAAGGCCCTATAAAAATAATGTCCTTGAAATTATTTTCTGGTTCCAGTGTTGTTATGAATCATTTGCTATGGCCGGCAGGTTCTCCTCAATTGCTGAAGCTTACACTCTTTATAACTGACATAGTTTTCTTCTTAGCCATAGACTGCCTAAAATACTACTGTATATATCCTGAATAAGACAGAAGTGTCAAGGGCATCCCAGCATTTGACTCTCCTATGTAATAGCTATGCTGGAGACAACTAATGTAAACTGTGAGTGCACAGCTGAAACCAACAATGGAGGCAGATTGATTCTGACGCAATAGCTACTACATTTTACAGCCCTTCTTGAATGGTCTTATAACAAATTAGCTTCAAAATGGATGACGCAGGAGCACCAAACTTCAACTAATTGCATGTGAGTTAAATATAATACCTAAATAACCATTTCAGTTAAATACAAGGCTCAGATAACTAATCATTAAAATCAGAATTAAAAAAAAACCCTCCAGGTTTATTGTTCAGAAGCCAGTGCATGTCTAATGAGTTTTTCCTCCACTGAATGAAATGTCACCTCCTCAGTGTGACATCCAGTAGATAATAGCCCTTGCAGGGTTATGGTGGCCAAATATGTTGAATCTGAGTGAGGAAATATATTTACTACAAAATTAGAGGCAAACATTTATTTTCTACTTGCTAGTGCTCTTGCAACTTAAAACTTATTATAGTCCTATAAATATCTAAGAAAAAATAGTCATAAATACCTTTTAATACTGCAAAAAGAAAATGGATACATTTTTCCTGAAAGTACGTATGTAGTACATACACATTTACAGAGAGAACTCTGAATTTAAAAATTATGACTCAAGTTTTTTTAAGAAAAATTCTATTACAATTGAAGAATTAAAAAAACTTCAATTCATAAAATGTAGGCATCCATAGCTCAAAGACAATATCTGAGAGATTATAGAAATATATTTGTATGTAGTGTTTCTTTTAAAAAATCTGTTAGTTCTTACAATGCAACATAGCGATCTAGCGATCATCTAGCATAAACTAACAGTAAGTGTTTGTAGTGAAGAACACGGTGATTGAAATCGGAACTTGAGGTGGAGGTAGAAGATTATTATTCTGAGTCTGGTCAGCCTGGACACCGTAGAACGATCTAGCAAAATCAGAGAAAGGTTGTGAATTGTAAGTAAAAATACTCACATGATTTTATAAAATACGTTTGAAAGAGCTTTCTTTTATCTCGTGTGTGTGTGTGTGTGTGTGTGTGTGTACTCGAGATGTGTGTCCGTGTGATCGCAGGCACACATGCGCTATAGTATGCCTGTGGAAGAGAGAGGACACCCTGGAGTGTGTGTGCACTCGAGATGTGTGTCCGTGTGAGCGCAGGCACACATGCGCTATAGTATGCCTGTGGAAGAGAGAGGACACCCTGGAGTGTGTGTGCACTCGAGATGTGTGTCCGTGTGAGTGCAGGCACACATGCGCTATAGTATGCCTGTGGAAGAGAGAGGACACCCTGGAGTGTTTGTCCTCACCTTGTACCTTATTTGGAGTGCTCTGTTACATACTCAGGGATGACTGACTGATCCCTGAGCTCCGGGGCATTCTCTTGTCTCCCCCTCTCATTCTACTGTGTCCAGGGTATGTGCGTTCCAAAGATGCAATCCAGGTCCTCATAAGTGCAAAGCAAGGGCGTTCCTCACTGAGCCATCTTCCCGGCCCATATTCTGTCGTCAATTACTTTCTTCATTGCCCAATAGGAATAACTGACGAAGCGGGCATGCTTCCTCTCAGTTTCTAAGGCAGATTTCCCTCTTCCCTCTGCTCTCTGTTGTTTTACTACATCCTGCAATTAGAGCAGACGTTGAATGCCAAAGAGAGTAGGGCCCCCACTAGTTGAGAGAGGTGATTTTACAGTGAATTAACTTGTTTTCTTACTTGAACCGAATACCTGCAATCACTGATTGTCACATTTATCTTTTGTTGTAAAACTGAACTAATTGAAGATGCTGCCCTCAGGGAGCCAGCTCGCGGTGCAATGCATGTAGAGAGCCCTCTTCAGCTTAGCATTTTAATTATTCACAATTATAATTATTTCTGTTTATCTGAGATCTCTGAAAATAATTCTAGCTTATTAAACAAAACGAGAAGCCAAGTCGTCTGAGCTTTGTTTTGTTTCTTACTGAGGTCGGCCGGCCTGGGAGTATGCCAACTTCTCACAAGCACTAAGCGGTTTTCTGGCTTGTGGGTAGTCACGGAGGACATGTGACCTGCCCTGGAGTAACTGAGTACACCTGTTTCCCCGATTGTTTTAGAATTCCAGGCTCCACTGGGACTATGAGGCTGAGGGTTGACGAGAACCCGAGTGGAAGAACTGTACAAAATTTTTGGCAGTGTGTTCATCAGTGAAGAAATTCATTAAGGTCAATTGCTGATATTAGCCAAGAGTACATTTTTTTAAACAATGGCTGTTCTTAAAAGAACACACGTGTTTAGTGATGGGTTCCTATTGGCAACTGTTAGTTGCTGTGAGAAGGAGAGACAGTTTTCACTAACAGTATACACCTGACAAGCTGTCCACTCCCCAGTGCAAGTGGAATCTGGGAAGCCTACATGAGTCTTGAAGGATTTTTTTAAATAGGGCACAAAGTTGGGTAGGGAGGGAAGGGGGTGTGGATCTTGGAAGAGTAGTGGGAGGGGAAGTGAATCTTATCAGAACACATGATATCAATCTCTGAAACAATGATGTCACCTTCAAAAGTTTTTCAGTCTAGTCTATGTCATCTATCCCATATCTGTCTTGTTTGCAGTCTCTCTCGTACAACACTTCAGTTTTAGATTCAAATATGCACTCTGAAGTTAGAGAATTCTTTTGTCTACTGGTAGCCTGTAGCCAAAGGTAGCAATGATTGATGTGGAAAATCATCATGTCTATAAAAAGGTCAGCACAGAGATGCATGAGATACGGCATTTTTAAAGAGAATGCATTTACCCATGCTCGTATCAGATAAGAAACAAAGTTCTGCTTAGGAACATTATTTGCAAGTGTACATCAGGGTCCCTATTTTTAAACCCCCTTCCAATCAAGCAGAATGAAAAATTGTGTATTGTGTTCTGAGGTTAAGGTCCAAATTGTGGTTTACAGCCCTTGTTAAAAAATTGTTTAACAAAAGGACTAGAATAAACTTAGGGAAAAAATGTTTTCTGTTTCCTACCATCAAGTGTATGTCTCTCCCAGTAACAAACGTTTAACCACAGCTACCAAGGAAAGTAATTTTAAAAACTGATTGCAATAATTACTTTTCAGGTATTCACAAAGAAATAAACTCAGAGGACAACTAGGAGGTGAAGCAAGACCATGGGACACCCACTAGCTAGATAATCCACGCTGGAGTAACTGAGAAGTGTCTGAATGTAGGTATGTATTTGGTGAACACCTCCCTAACCTTCTTAACTTCAACCACATATGGTCAGTCACACTGGGTACCTTGCCAGCATGGTTGTATGCACACCTAAGTGTCCATGAAGAACCTCCCAATGGGCCTCCAACATGAGGCCGTACTGGTCTTTTGAGCATTTAAAACATTCTACAACATAATTGTCTGTCTCCTCCTACTCAGTATTCTCATTTCCTCCTAACTGAACCCTAACCTTGTTTCTCTGAACGCAGAGATCATTTGTCTTTGATGTCTCTACTATCTAAAATAAATTCCCAAATAATTCTTTGCTGGTTTTAGTTCTCCTATGATAGGAAAGGTGAACAGATTAAGAGCATGTACATTTGAAACAGATAGGTTTGAGCACACACTCAAGCAATCTCTAATTGGGGGACCTAGGTAAGACTTTATGTTCAAACATTCTATTCTTTAGTTTTCTTGTCTCCAAAGGTGAGGATAGTAAGAATGAAGGTAGGCTTCTGCCACTGTGATGGATACCAGAGATAAGGAACTTCAAGAAGAAGATTTGATTTTGTCTCACTTTAGTGATTATGGTTCACAGTCAGTTGACTCCATGTTTCTGAGTCTATGATGACCACTGTGGCAGAAGGACATGGTGAGGAGATGTTTAGCAGCTTGTGGCAGGCAGAAAACAGAGAGCAGGAAAGCAAGAGTACAGGACACGAGGAATCCTTTAAAGACACACCTTACATGACCTATTTCCCCAGCCTGACTCTATCTTCTATTTTCCAAGCACTTCCCAACAGTTACATAATATCATTAATCCATTAAAGGATTTAGTCATGATTGAATGAAAGCCCACATAGTCCAATCACCTCAAAGTGATGAGTCCTACCAGCTAAGAGCAAGCCTCAACACATGAGTTTTGAGGGACACATATAATAAAACAATGACAAATGCTATGCATGTTTCTGGATTGCTCTTAAGACTAAGTAAGGTCATGGGGGAAAGGTTTAAAGTCATGTTTAAAACAGTAAAACATCAAAATTCTTACAGTCAATTCTTACATTATATGCTAGAAAGTATATGGCATGGTCCCATTTCAAAATAAGGACGTTATGATGCTAGGAGGCTAGATTGCTGTCTGAAAACACAGAAGGAGGCAAAATCAACAGGAAAGTGTCTGACATGAGGACTGGGCTACATCTCAACATCGCCAGGCACAGCAGATGCCTAGTTATTAGTGATATTGATAATGAAGAAACCTTTTTCTCTTCCACTCATAAACTTTTAAGCTGAAGTATTGTGATATTGTACAAGATGTGTCTCTTCAAAAGACATGTTAATGGCCTGTAGCTCACTGACAGAAGGCTTGCCTATATATACAAGGCCGTGGGTTCAGTCCCCAACACCTCAAAAGAAAGAATTGGAATGTAAATGTGTATATGTGCATAATTGTGTACAAATGTGTATACTTGGGGTAGATGTGTCTGTAGGCAAGAGATTGACATTGGGCATCTTCGCTTCTCATGCTCCATCTTAGTTTGTAAGACATCATTTCTCATTGAACCTAAAACTTGCCAACATGGCTAGACTGGACGGTCAGCAAGCTTCAGACAGATAACCTCCTTTCTCGCTCTTCCTCTCCAGCACTGAGTTCTAATCAGATGCCATCTGTCTTGGCTTTTTTACATGGATACTGGAGATTGAAATTGGGCCCTGATGTTTACAAGGAAAGATTTTGCTGGGTCATCTCCCTAGCCTCAAGAATGTGAAATATGTTTAGTTGGTGATTAATACATTTTGTTTGGATTACCTTGAATGAGGTAAATTTATAACTGCTGGATTTTTGTTTGTTTGTTTGTTTGTTTAGTTTTCTTATTTGGTTTGGCCCAGAGGCTAAAATTCTCAAGTATTTCTGTTTTGAGGCACTGAATAAAGCAGGAAATGTTAGTATTATACTCTAGGTCAATCTATAAGTAGGATGACTCAAGTAATGGAAACAGCAGAAAAAATTAACACAGTCCTCTTTAATGTTGATTCTTATTATTTTGAATTATATGTAGGTGTGTATGTCTACATGACAGGTGCCTTGGGGTTCAGAAGTGTTTAATCCCGGCAGCTGGAATAACAGACAGCTGTGAGCTCCTGATATGGGCATTAGGAAAACAACCCAGGTCCCTTGGAAGAACAGCAAGGGCTTTTGATTTCTGAACCATCTCTCCAGCCCTATTTGACACATTTGAATCTCTCCTTATTCTCTAAGAGTCAGCCCTCCTTCTGCCTTCCACCATTCACTGTATCCCATGTTGGACACAACATCCCAAACTAAAAATTAACCTGTAGAGTTTAGGAGAATATGTTATTTCAGGAAAAAAACTATAAAGTTTAGATGAGTTTTGTAGTTATTTTGGAAAATTTACAAAGTGATTGACTAGCCCATCTTGGAATTTGTTTCTACCTAGAAAATCATACACTGGATCTCTGCTTCTGCAGCACTTGTGTACTACAGCACATTGATAAATTCATGCTTAGATCCAACTTACCCCCCCCCACTACCACCACATTGATTATTCCATACCTCCTCTACCCCTCAGTGAATTCCAGAATAACTTCAGATATTCTCAGAGAGTCTAACACTGCCTCTAGAGGAAATATCGCTAACTGCGGGTTAGAAAGGCCGGCCTTTGGAACTTTGTCTTTCTTTCCAAGCTTTTTGATTTTACCACTTTACAAACATTGTTTCATTTACTCTTCAAGATAACGCCAAAGAAACAGCTGTTTTTAATCCTCATTTACCACTAAAAATCTCTGTGATTCAGTGAGTTCAGTGCTCAGAGCTGGTGGTAGACGTCTTTTTACACAAGCTTAATCCAAAGACCAAGTCGATGATGTAGGAGTCACAGGGACAACGTGAGCCCTAGATTCAGATTCTCTTTTCAATCACTACTTTTAAGTGGCCTTGGCCACATCATATACTTTCATGCCTTGACTTCTTCATCTCACATGACATTATTATGAGAATCAAGTATCTTCTGCAAATGGAATTGAAATTATCAGAGATCCTATAACAAATTACTATTATGGGTAAGATATATTTAAATACTGATGTAGCCAAGAAGTCCACAAATGGTCCAAAACTCCTGGAAGGCAGTAGTCAAGAGATAGAAATGATAAAAGAAAACCAAAGACCAAAGATACAGAAACACCACACTATATAGAGATTCTGGGAGCAGACTTTGGAAAGAGTTCAATACCAGTGCTAATCCAATGCTGTTTAGTTCTCAGTTCTTAAATGTCAGAGACCCAGAATATGGTATTTCTTGGTTTTTTGTTTATTTTATAATTTGTGTTTTAAATGTAACTACATGGCAATAATCAATTAACTAGGAACTGGACGAAGCATCTTTGGACTAAGAATACAGGAGGTTTTTGGTCTGCTGAGGAAGAAATTCAACAGTAGATATACAGAAGACACAAAACTTAGATTTGTGTTACAGTTAGAGAAATCCAAGCATACTGTAGTGATGAACAAATGGAAAAATTTAGAGCCCTGAATGATCTCAGGCTTGCTATTTTTATATTAAAAAGTGCATATTTGTAAAGTAGATGGTATGTTCATAAGTTTGTGGCCCTTTCTCCCATGACAAATCATAAAGTCATCAAATACTAATGAATCCAGGTCTTTTAAGGGTGCCAATCTGGCTTTTTATGATACCTGTGTTCCAGCTCATAAAATCCTTCCCATACTTTAGCTTCTTGGAGAACGGAAGGAACTTAGCCGCAGCTTCAAGGATATTTAACCATAGACTTGTGTTTTTTTAATTACCAGGAGAAACATCTGTAGTTTTCATGGTTACTCCATGTCTAATTCCTTGCTTAACCAACATAAATCAATAGGTAAAATCATTAGAACTGAATACTATTGCATAGAATCTTATTTAAGGAATGGTTATTTGGCAAGCTATCATTTGGAAACTTATGAATAATGCAACCCATGAATATAGTTTTTAATACTATCCGAGCAACACCCAGTATGCCTGGAACACCCCAAGATCCTCTTCTGTGTTAGTCTGGGTTTTGACCTTATAGACACTGTAGGGAAGTGAAGTATATTTGATGAAAGATTAAGCATAAGCTTCAGTTATTCTGATACTAAAAGCGTCTCAATCTCAGAAAACTGTGAGATGCTTTCTGTTTCTAAGCCCTTAATTGCATTCCTACTGAATTAAGACAATATCTCATTAATCTCAACATATGGCATAAAGATTTTATTTAGATTTAATAGAGTTACCATTGTTTCTTTATGTTCTCTTGTTTACCCATTGCTTCAGATCCCTATTACTAGATTGCTTTACAAAGCTGCATTTTAGTGTATGTGAGAAGAGATAACCTCAATGATACCTTCACCACTATTTTAGAAACAAAAGAGAAATGGGGAAAGCATTTTTGTGTCCACTGTAAAAGCCTACCCCTAGATCTCTGCTTCTGAGATCTAAGACTGGCATGCAGAATCTATGATCAGTGGCTAAATCCCATCTGTCTAATTCTGTCAAGTATTTCTAAAGTTACAAATTTGTAATTCCAACAATACTTTTGAGGTCTTTATTAGCCTCCTTAGGGGTTGCTACTTATTAAGCATCTTGATAGAAGAATGAGATACAAGGATAATGATTACAGGAATATAACAATGAATGACTAATCTGGGAGTATATTGGAGGGATATAGTCCTCAGTTACAAAAGTGTTTTGTAAACTGTAAATAGCTATGCAAATATGGCTCCGCCCTAAAAAGGAATTTACAATGCCACTTCATGGTACTATTACTATGTACTACATTATATTACTATATATTAACTATATGTAATAACGTATGTAATAATTACTAATTATTACTTTTACTACATTGACAAAATGGAGAAAGTTTTTCTCCCTCTTTTATTTAAAGTGTTCAAGAGCATGTGTTCTTCAACACATGGCAGGACAGAATTTTCTGAAACCATTTGGGCATTTTATCTGTT